TCTTTTTTCCAAGGAAAGAACTTCTTCTGCCTTACTATGAAGCATTTCTCGAGTACGTTTCACTTGAAGTTTTAAAAGATTATCCTCTATCATCAAATCCTATCATAACAAAATGATCAAATATTGAAATAATTTCATCTTATACCCAAACTAAATTATTACATTGACATAAAAGTCAAACTTAAAAATATACCTTTTTATAATCTGACCATTGATTAACATATGAACTAGAGCTAAATTTAAATTGCTCAGATTGCTCAGAGTAATAAATAAGTTTTTTCTTAAGAAAAAGATTTATGGCCAGCTACAGTGGTGCAGGCAGAAGAAGGGTACTGCTGCATAATACTGGGAATCATGTGGTAATGCCTGAGGTTGAGATCCTGGGTTGAACTAAATCTGTTGGGCATGCCCATGGGTACACCCATGATCCTGGCTGTCTAGAAGGCTGGAAGCATACTAAGACCTTGTCAAGGATACAGTACTCTTTCTCTTTCACACACAGAGCTATACATACACACAAAGAAGAGAGAGGAGGAAGAAACTCATTTTAAAAAGATTTTTACAGCTTTTCCAAAACTTTTTTTTTTTTTTTAAGTGAGAGAGATTTTTGCTATAGAGTGCACTCACCAGAAAAACAGACAAAAAGTGAGAAATCACCCCTCAGGAGGGCTGGCCATACCACAATCCCTTCTCCTCCATTCTCCTCTCTGGCTCTTGGGCACACATGCACACACACCCAGCATGAATTTTAAGGCTCCAGGTCCGAGACTTGAACTGCAGTTGACTAGGTGGGAATCCAGCAACATAACCATTATGCCATCTGCTGGCTCCCTAAATCATTTTTTATTATTTAATTTCAAGTTCAAGCCTTTCCAAAGAATAAAAGGAAGAAAATATGGCTAAAATTTAAACTTAGGATATCCAGAAAAGGACCCATTCATATAAAATCCTATAGATAGACATTTTTATACTCTAATCTCACAAAATAGGGTGTAAATAAAATTTTATTTTAAAATAATTCAGTCATGAGTAGGAAAGTGACAAAAGAGTATATGAATAGGTCAATTTTCAGAATGGAAATACTGAAACACTCCAGAATATAAAAATTTACTATTTCATATTTCACATATACCAAAAATACATTCCAAATGAATGAAAAAAACATACAAGATGAAACTGGTGCAACTGCTAGAAACAGTGAACATCTGTCTAATTTTAGTGCCGCAAAATTTCTAAACATAAAAATTGTATAGGGAAAAAAATGTAAAGGCCCAATTTTTTTTTTTTTGAGAGGTTTTCGCTATAGGGTGTGTGCGCTCGCCAGACAGACAGAGAGAGACATAGAGACGGAAAGCGAGAAATCACCCCCCAGCGGGGATGGTCACGCCACAATCCCTTCTCCTCCATTCTCCTCTCAGGATCTTGGGCACGCACGCACACGCGCCCAGCGTGAGTTCTTAACCACCGGGTCCAGGACACGAACCACGGTTGACTACGTGTGAGTCCAGTGACATAGCCATTACGCTAACTGCTAGCTCCCAAGGCCCAATTTTTAAAAAGGTTTTATGTCAGAAACATTGAATAAAAATTTAAATTTAAATGGGGAAAATATTAGCAATATTGTGACAGAGATAACAATTTTACCAATGAAAATATTTTACAAAACAGTTAAAACATATAAAGTTCCTAAGGCCAACCCTATAGTGTTTATGGGAATTAGATCCCATGGGGTTAACCACAGTTCAAATCCCATACCCACTGGCTTAAAAAAACACATTGGGTATGTGTACATACATGCCCAAAGTTCTGACAGGATAGAGACATGGAGCAAAAGGGACTGTAGTGTAACCACATCCCATGGTTAGGAGATTCTTTCTCCCTCTATGTCTCCTTCTGGTGAGCACACGCATCTTCTGGCAATTTAAAAAAATAAAACTAAAGAAATAAATCTCCCAGTAGAAAAATGAGCCAAGAATATAATCTAGAAATCCAAAAGAAAAAGAAAAACTGTAAAACATAAATATGGAAAAAATAGTTTAAACATTTTTATGGAGCATAAAGGTCTTAAATTTTACCTTTAAAAACAATATTTTTAAATCACCAACTTAAAAATAATAAGATATCATGCTTTTCTAACAAATTTTAACACCTTTTTAAAATTAAAATACCCTGTCTCTGTGTTGATAAATAAAATAGAATGTTTACATACTGGGGTAGGAGTATTAATGGAACCCTCTGGAGGACAGTTAGGCTTAAAAATAATTTCAAGACTTTAAAAATACTCATTTCTTTTCAACCATAATTGTAGATCTAGGAACTTACCCCAAGGAGCTAACTGAACTACTAAAGAATAACATAATAGTACTATTTACAATAGCCAAACATTAAAAACAACCACATAACAAAAAATGGAATATGGTTAAAAAGGGTCTGGCAGGTGGCGTGGTGGATGGACTCCCACATGGCCAACCGTACTTTAGAGTCTCTGATTTGGAGGCTTACCTTTGTACTCTTCCCCTCTCTCTGCCTCTGGTTAAATTGAATAATAATATAGATAAATAAAATTAAATAAAGTATTTATTTAAAAAAAAGAATATGGATAAATAAATCATGATAACTTCATGCAAGGAACTTGTGGGAACCCTTTCAAATATACATACATATATAATGTTTATTTCTTCCATGAGAGTGTAGGACAGAGAGAGAGATAAAAGAGAGAGAGATAGGTGCCTGTAACAGGATCCACCCCCAGACTCTGATAGCTCAGATCTGCATGTTGGCACAGGGAAGCCTCTGGACATGAGCCCGGGATCTTTCCATGTGGGTCCGGCATCCAAAAGAAGTGCATCATTGCTGTGCTCCTAGCTAGCACCTACAACTATTTTTAAAAGAAAACATATATATTTAAAAAAATTTTAGGCCCTCCAGGAGCGCCCCAGTTCCATCTCTCAGTCCCTGGCCACCAAGGGAAACTGAGGCAGTGGGACCATGCCCCGACCCTACTTCTAAGCTCCCAAGTCCAGGACCCCTGTTGCCTAGACTGATAGGAAGGCTTTTTACTTTTTTTTTTCTGCTCTGCCTTTTTGTTTTGTTAATTCCCTGTCTCCCTCCTCTCACTTGTCCAGCAGAGAGGCCTTTGCCCTCCAGGAGCACCCCAGTTCCATCTCTCAGTCCCTGGGCACAAAGGAAACTGAAGCAGTGGCACCACTGCCCCCATCCCATTTCCAAACTCCCAAGTCCAGGACCCACCTTCCCTAGAGAGGTAGGGAGGGTTTTTACTTTTTTTTTCTGCTCTGCCTTTTTGTTTTGTTAATTCCCTGTCTCCTTCCTCTCTTGTCCCACAGAGAGGCCTTTGCCCTCCAGGAGCACCTCAGTTCCATCTCTCAGTCCCTGGCGAAATCTCGCACTGCACTAACTTGGGGCACAACTTTTCCTTTAATCCCCCGTATACTCTTTCCTTTCCTCTAACACTATTCTCTCTTCCTCATTCTCCACTATGTCAAAGGCATTAGACAGATCTAGAATCACAGTTCTAAAATTCCCTAGTTTTATAAGGTCCCCTGGGATCTGCCCCTGTACTGAACTATCTGTGAATACCAGGATACTACTCCTCAGATACCTGAATAGAGTACACCTCTTGAGACCACATTGCTAAACACAACAGAAGAGAGACTTCCATATACATTAACTCGCAGCTAAAGGGAAGCACTCTTGCTCCTAAGAGGTATTCAAAATAGAATACATCTTTCAATGGCTAGAAGTAGAAGAGCTTCAGGTCTGAATAAACCAGGAAATATGTCTCCATCACAGGAACAGAGTAACTCCCCTCCATTTCCCCTGAAATCTGAGGACATTACCAAAATATCAGATAAAGAATTTAGAACGTTTATGGTGAACAAATTCTATGAGTTGGAACAGAAGAGAGACAACAAACTTCAGGAGATTAGGAAGTCCTTCCACGATATGAAAGAAGAAATAAACATGCTGAGAAAAAATCAGATGGAACTATTAGGGGTCAAGTCTATTATAGAGAAAATCAAAAACTCCCTTGAAAGTAGTAAAAGTCAATTAGACCATGCTGAAGATCGCATTTCTGATGTTTAAGATAAAACCACTGACCTAGAAAAAACCACCAAGAAGATAGAGAAAATAACAAAAAAAAACATGAAAATAATATACAAGAAATACTAGATTCTGTAAGGCGCCAAAACATCAGGATAATTGGCATCCCAGAGGGTGAAGAAACTAATAATGTCATGGAAAGTCTATTCCATGAAATCCTGGAAGAAAGTTTCCCAAGTCTAGAGAGGCACTCAACCATCCAGACCCAAGAAATACAAAGGTCCCCAAATAGATTCAACCCCAGAAGATCCTCCCCAAGGCACATGTTAGCCAAACTCTCCAAAACCAGAGATAAAAACATGATACTAAAACAGGCAAGAGAGAAACAAAAAGTGACTTACAAAGGTCATCCCATCAGGCTAACTCCGGACCTTTGAATGGAAACAAAGCAAGCAAGGAAAGAATGGGAAGATCTATTGAAAGTGTTAAGAGAAAACAATTTCAACCAAGATTATTATATCCTGCAAGACTATCCTTTATATGGGAAAAAAAAAAAAGATTAACATCTTCTCAAACAAAACCTGAAAGAATTTGCCAGCACCACATTAGCTCTTCAAGAAACCCTGAAGAAAGTACTGTTCTAGGAAAACTAAAGAATTAACACAGAGAAATAAAGGAATAAAAGGCAGGTAAGACAATGGCCAACTTAAAGGTCTGGACAGACCCAGTAACATCAATAACAACATTGAATGTGAATGAATTAAACTCTCCAATCAAGAGACACAGACTCACTGAATGGATAAAAATACTCTCTCTGTTGGCTACAGGAAAAAGACATACATAGACTGAAAGTGAAGGGGTGGAAAAAGATTTTCGACGCAAATGGGAATCACAAAAGAGCTGGAGTTGTGATACTAATTTCTGACAAAATAGGCTTTAAAACAAAAACTGTTTGAAGAGACAAAGAAGGGCACTATATTGTAGTAAAAGGATCAATATATCAAGAAGATATAATGCTTATAAATATCTATGCGCCT